CTGGGATGAGGATTAGCACCTACAACATCGAGGCCATACTTCTCAGCCACAAAAGTGTAGCATGCCAGCTGGAAGTTGGAAATTAATTTCTTCGTCAAGTTGTGGCATTGCAGTAACACGGGGATACCGCGGATCGGGGGATAGACAGACGGATTGGTGCAGCATCTGCAGTGTTGCGGATGTTGTACCGGACTGTTGTGGTAAAAAGACAGAGTATAAAGCCATGGCTGTCGTTTCACTGCTCAACATACGTTTCTGCCCTCACCTGTGGACACAAAGTTTAGGTACCGGTACTAACTGAAAGAATGAGCTCATGGATACAAGGGGCATAAATGAGGCTCCTCCAAAGGGTTGTCTGTGCTGTCTGTGGGCTGAAGCTCCTTTTATCTGACGGGAATGCCTCCTGGCCGCCCTCTAGGTGAGGTGACCCTGGAGCAGACCTAAGACTTGGTGGAGAGATAATGTCTCTTGGCTGGCTTGGGGAAAACGCAGTGTTCTCTCAGAGAAGCTGATGGAGGTGGTTGGAAAGACGGCGGTCTCGGCATCTCTGCTGAGCCTACTTTCCTGCATGTATCCAGGGTTGGTACACATGGCTGAACTTTGATGGATAGATAGGTAGGTGTATGTAAGCATACGATGGCCATTTTTCAGCAACCATCACTTCAGTGTTCAAAAGACACACTGCGCACCTAAGACATACCTATGAGGTTAAAAGAACTTTTTGCCCTCATAACATTTTTCAAACTTATATTAGTACAAAAAAACTTTTCTGTTTGATTAAAAAGGAACACATTTCGTTAGTTGAGTGTGTGGCTCATGAGTCTCTGTGGGTTTGATTGCAGTCTCTAAACTTCAAACTTTCAGAAACCTGAAAGTGTTTTTGTTCCAGGAAATGAAGGGTATTCATGTGGCACAGTGTTTCATACAGGGGTGTGCACTACTCTCTTCACAAAATAACACCAAAAGGCTCCAACCAGAGAAAGAAGTCAGAAATCCCAGCAAAAACACCAGTACACAAAGGGGGTTTTCCTGCATAGAAGCACTTTTTGACAACCCGCAGAGACTTTTTAAAGAATTGTAATAAAGTGCCAGAAATATAATGTTTATAAATAGATTTCTGCAACATAACACAGCAAAGGTATGGCGTTGTCTTTACTGTACATGGCTTGTTCATGTTTATGGTAAATGGCCTGTATTTATATAGCGCTTTACTAGTTCTTAAGGACCCCAAAGCGCTTTACACATCCAGTCATCCACCCATTCACACTCACATTCACACACTGGTGATGGCAGCTACATTGCAGCCACAGCCACCCTGAGGCCCACTGACATATGCATAATCAACCATCAAAGGCTCATTGTAAGCCAGGAAAAACCTTAAGAAACAGGTGCCCTCACAGGTCCATTAATGGTAGTTTGTGTCAGGTTGTGAAGGCAGTAGTACACACAGCTGTAAAGTTTTTGGGCATTTGAAGACTAAAATCAAAACTACAAAGGACAGTCCTTCAGAAATTTAACCAACCCAATGATCTTCTCCAATGAGCAGATTTTCTGCTTTCTAGTTGTGCTGTTAACATTAAAACTCGTATTACATAACACAATGTCTGTGCTGGAGCAAAGGATTGATGGTCTCAGGTTCAAGTTTCCTCTCAAAAACAGATTTCGAAAAGGAAATTTAATCCTTAACGAACTGTAAGTAACTAAGAACTGTTTCACCTTGGTCAATATGTGGTAAATCTGGGGGTACATCAGCCCTCTTCTGTGTCTGTGTTCGGCTACACGAAGAACCTCAGCGCTGACCTAAAATTAAAAACAGAAACACGGTGACAGACTTTCCCCAGAAACACCCCACAACTGTGCTGTGAACTCTGGAGTTTGTGTCTGACCTGAGGCAGAGGGGGTGTGGTTATGTCCATGTGACTCCGCGTCGCCATAGATAACAGTGACGGAATGTTTGACCCGCTCCCGTTGCCTTGGGAACCGTCTCCAGAGCCGGAGCCCCCTCTTCCAGTGGGATCCTCCCACCGAGAGGACTTGTCTGTCAAATGGCTGAGGAGAGAGGGATTATGAGAATTTTTAAGTTATCCAGAAACTGGCATTCAGGGTCAACACGTGTGTATTGTGGTTAGTTGAGGTGTAACAATTAGATTGACAAGGACAAACCAATAGTTTAAAAGTTTAAATTAATGTTTAGAGTAATTTGACTAATAGCCACTTCTGACTATTGTCTCTGCATTTATCAGCACTGGATGTTACACCTGTCATCATTATGACATAGATGTTAAAATACAGAACAAACGGATGCTGTCTGTGACTTTTCAGTAGGTTTGCATGAACATTATTGGCCACCAAGAAAGCAGTGGAGGGTGAACCTGTATTAACAAGGTGTTAAATAAGGTTTAAAAATATAACAGCACAACCATTAATATTCTAAAACTAATTATGACTGTGTGGTTTTATTAAATAATTTCATTAATTTTTGTTATTTATTATATGACATTTTATATTCTACCTGCAACGGGTGTGTTAATGGTCGCTCATATCAAGGATCACCCCTGGTCACCGATCATTTTCACCAAGAAATCTCCCCACAGATGCATTAAATTATTAACAGACTCATAGTAAACTAAATCAGCCTCAATATAATATCATGTTGCATCTTCACATGTGAAAGAGACATTTCTGGATGTGCACTTTAACATTCATTGCTATGTGTGATCAATCAACCATCTTTAAAAGAGAAAACAGGAGGCCAATTCTGGCTGCTGGTTGAATTAATTTCACAGTGCACCTGATGAGACACTCATCTATCACGTTCTTCACTTTATTTTTCTCCCACCCCATCCCGTGGCATGTGTGATTTTTGGTTTAAAAAACAAAACAAAAAACTCCACAGTGTGTGGAGGGCACAGGTGAGACACGTACACACAAGAACAAACTTCAGTTGTGTGTTTATTCATAAACTAACTAAATAAAAACAACAAAAATACACAGTTTTAGCAGTTCAAATATGTGTCCTCTCATGTTAACCGGCTACTTTAAAATTCGATCATTTGTAGTTGTGTGTCGACGTCTCCTCTAGAAGTGAGATATGGGCCCCACATTGCACATCATAGAGAAAGGGTGGATAGCACAACCATAATGTTTGCACATTCACCTCCTGTGCCAGCCTGCCATGGCTGCACTGGTATGAGTCATAGGTGATGTCACAGGGGAACAACCGGATGATGGAGCAAATCACCCAGCCCTACTACCTATTCCTAGTAGGAGTATGAATCACTGAAATCCTATATAAAAGCCTACTTATGAAAAATAAGATTAGTAATTAAACATTAAATACTCTGACATTGTGTGAAACTGTAATTATTTTATATGTGGTGTCAGTGTCCACTACACGTCAGATTTATGAGCCATGGCTGCCTGGGCTTGCTCAGTCTTGTCTTGATGAACAAGTGCCCTAACAGGTTGGTATGACATGCATATGTCTTCATCCAGAAATGCAAAGCTCTTTGACTTTACTTTTCAGACACATGGTACCAGGGTTGTTTTATACTCCCGAGTAGGGCTGCCACAAACGATTATTTTGATAGTCGACTAGTCACCAATTATTTTTGCGATTAGTCGACTAATCAGATCATGCATCCATTGGACGTAAAACTTACAGCTTATTGCACCAGCATGCATCTGCTCTTATAAAACTATTATTAGCTTACAGCTTTAAGCATTTAAGGTATGTGCTAACTAAAAATAAAGACAAGATGATAGTTTATAAAATTTTAATGAAATTTGCAGATCCTTTCGGTGGAGTTTAATAAACTCAGCCTTCTGCTCCTTGCTATCTAAAATACAACAGGAGTATATTCTCGAGTATCTCACACTTCTGATAATCAGCTGTCTCCTTGATGTTTATTCAGCTGTGTAAAAACTATAACTTTAATCTCAGCCAAACCGATTTACTCAGGAGCAAATCAAACACTGAAAAAAGCCAAACAATAACATTTTTAAGTTCTCTAAGTGACTTATAAATCATGTTTAACCTGAGTAGCGAAAGACGGCGGTGGGTTTGAAAACGATTTGCCGGGAGTCCGGTGTTCTCACCAGCTCTAGTGAGCCTTGAACCCTCTAGCTATCGAGCTGGTGGATAACAGACGTCTCTGAAAACATCGGAGCACTTTTACAAATATGTGATGTCTTGATAAACCGAGCAGTTTTTGAGGTTTACACAGCTACATTCTCGCCTGAAAATATGTTAAAAGTTTATTTTGTGACCCAGAAAGAATAATATTAAAACTAACTAGCTGCCGCCATTGTTGGAAACTGAGCAGGGCTGCGCTATGAATTCTGGGATAGGTTGGACCACGAAGTATGCACCAGATCCATCCTTCAAATCTGAGGAAATGAAGGCCGCATTTGTCGGAGCCTTCGAATTTGGACAGTCTTTGTCGTGTCGCTGTAAACAGGAGGATGCGGTTCCTGAATTTGGACACAGCTACGATAGCGGACACTACGTCGTCTTCTTCGGGGTTTAACGGCAGCTGGCATCCTTGTACATGCAGTGCTGCCAACTTCTGTTTCAGTCCGTTATTACACTCTTAAATCCTACTACTTATTCTTGCATCTTTTTGGAACTTACAAAGCTTGAAACGGCGTGTCGACTATTAAATCAGTCGTCGTCGATTTTGATAGTCGACATAATCGTGACTAGTCGACTAATCGTGGCAGCTCTAGTCCCGTGTTAGGAACCCACAGAACCACTTCAAACTGTGCAAAAGGAACCTGACATGCTCGAAAAATGTCTTACTTGGCGTTGCTGTCATTGGGTTCATCTCCATCCGACGATGAGGAAGGAGACGGAGAGGGGCCAGACAGAGTGCCGGTGTGATGATTGGGTAGTCGACTTCCCCCCTGAGTGGAATCATATGGAGCTGACCAGTCAGTGAAGCCCATCTTGCCCGTCAGTGAGTCATTGCAGTCTTGGGATGGTGGCTGTGGGGTCTGGAACAGAGGGGCGGAGCCAGGTCCATATGGAGCATTTTGATAGTGTGGCTTTAACCCCGGGACCTGGGGGGGAGGGAACTGGGAAAGGGGGGATAAAGAAGGAAAATTGGGTTGGTGGAGGAAGAAGCATGGGAAATTGAGTACAAAAGAGGAAGAGTAGGGAAGAGAAGACATCTCAGGGGTGGGAACTGATACTGTCCTATTTTATATCAGATCAAACTGGAAGCATATCATCAAGGCTGGTGGGAGGATACAAGACGGGAAGAAGTGCACCCTCCTCCATCAGTCACTAAACGAGCACATGCCTCAAAGGGATTTCAAAGAGCAAAGGGAAATAAAGCCTAATCCACTATTCTACATGTAGACTCATGTAGACAGAACACAATTACACATCAAAGAGACTTAAGGATTAGCGAGAAAAGGAATCTACCTGATTCTTTCCAGGCTGCATCGGTCCCATGTGACCAGGTGGTCCCCCAAATGGAGCAGGTCCAAACCCAGGTACTGTGCACAGCGAGAGAGAAAAAAACAGGGATTAAAAACAAATAGACAAATGTGTTTTATTCACAGTGAATAAAAGTACATCGAGCAAGCCAAAAAGATTACATAACAGCAATCCTGTTTTCTGAACTTGCGTCCTGAGCAGCTTGCTACTCACAGATGAAAGAGGAGGGCCCCATGTTAGGTGAGCGGGGTTTGGAGGCAGCTGAGAAATACTCCACAGCTTTCTTGAATCGCTCCACCTTGTCCTCCATACGAGACTGCAAAGGGGGGGCAAAAGCATTATGAAGACTACTGAACCTGCTGGTATTACAGATGGCAGTGAGGATGTTCTAACTGAGGGATCTGCTGGAGAGATTTCCTGCATTACGCACCCAAGAAGGAAAAAACAAGAACAAAAAAACCTTTGGCCTGTTCTCTCTCTGTGGACCAGTGTTTGATGTTTTGGTTTTACAAAGGGGAGGTTGTCACAGCAACATAGCCATAAAGTCAAACCTACTTGGTCACTGGTTTATCCAGTGTAAACAAGATTAAATAACATGCCTAAGGCCTGATTTAGACCTCTGCGGGGACTCTTTGTAGAGCCTACAACCTATAACCTACAACCTATAACCTTTGCAAGTGGCCGACATCTTTGCCTGCATTCATGCTCATGTGTGGCACATATGCATTAATTACCGTTTTCCACTACCATGTCCCTGCTCTTTGTTTTGGTCAGTTCATTTTCCAGGGGCACATGGCTGTGTCCCTCATTTTTTTCTACTTTTTTGTACATCTCCCCACGTCCACTCTAACAGTTTCAAAAATCTTCCAGCAGGACAACATTTGCCAGTTCTTGTATTGCTGCTATGATTATCATTCGTTATAGTGACACGATATCTCACTGAAAAATTTAAAAAATGTTCCAAAAAGTCATAACTACATGGAAGGAACTAACTGTGCTAAACATGCCTATCACAATGGTGGCGGGCTGTGTAGGTCTTTCTAAGGACATGCACATCAGGTTACGGCATATAGTTCCAAAAACCAGTTGCACCTCAGAGAGAGAAGTGGTTGCTTTAAGTATGACTGGTGCTGCAGAAAATTAGCTTTAAATAGAGTAATAAATTACATTTCACCTTTACTGTGAATTAATATAGCCCTCAAACAAAAACTTGTTAAGATTAATACTTCATCTTTTTTTCAGTATAAATGTATACTGTATTGCTTCTAGTTAAAGACCACAAGAGTATGTGATCATCTCATTAGATTGGATTAGCCAAGCTGGATTCAATTATCTTGTGGCTTTGAAAACAGAAGAAACTGGCTCAGGTTACCAGATTTATTTAAACTAGGATCTCTGAGCTAGGGCTGTGCGATATGACCAAAATCTTATATCGTCATCTGATATATATCGTTATATCGAACAGCCCTACTCTGAGCTGAACTTCCAACTTCCAGAAGAAAAAAAAAAGCCCCCGGTCTCCCGACTCTCTTACTTCAACGAAGCATGGGTTAGAGGCAACTCAGCGTCAGTGTTTTTTATAAAAAAAAAAAAAGAGCCGTAAAGGTTCACTGATTCTCAAATTCTGGATCAATTCCAAAGTTTAAAATAATGTGGCTGACAAAACTTCACTGCATATGTTTTGAGGCACAATACTGACACAATACTCACTTGTGTCAGTATTGTGCCTCAAATGCCTAGACAGTTTCAAAGTCCTTCAGTCCTGCATTACACAAAAGGTTGGAATATTAATGACACAACAGATGAATGTGCCTAAACCTCCTAAGACCCGAACTCTTCCACAGCATGCATTTTTAATTTCTCTTTGATATTGGGGCTGATTGGGACCTGATGAATGTAAAAACAAAGAATCAACTTTTTTTTTTTTACCCGATTTTTGTTCCTAAGAAAAATGAGAGCCACGTATGAGGATATTCATTTTAAATTTTGATGAAACTTAGGCAGTAAAATGTCCTCGTGAGTGGATATCAGGCCCTTGTAGAGCAAAATTTAGTATTTTGGTCTAGACAACCCAAAATTTGATGTGCACATATGTGGACGCCAGGTCCTAGGAGGTTAACATTTACTGATATGTTGACACGAGTCTGTATGGCTGAAGTATTGGTCCTTTTCTGTGTCATTCATTGTTTGCCGCTCTGGTTCCAGATCACTAAGTCCTTGTAGCTGGAAGAGAGTCGCCATGTTTACTATAAACTGACCCCATGCAAAGGTTTATCTTTCAATCTCCCCGTCCTCTCTGTGACACTTTGGTTATAACTGAAGACACAAATCTGCTTTTGAAGAAGAAGAAAAAAAGCCCCACATGTACTGTTTAATATCAAACAGGAGAACATACTGCATTTAGAAACCTATACTTTGGTGTGGATTAAACCACGTTAATGCTAGAGTGAGCACATGTATAGACTCAGAGTTTAATGTGAGATTCGTTCAAATTAAAGAGTGAGCAATAAGTTATACGTACATCCTTATCAGAATCTAGTTTGCTGCTGGATTCAGGAAAAAATACAAATAAAGTCGCTTCTTACTGAACTCTGTGATTATTCCAGCTCAAGAAAAATGTTCAATACTTTAACTGCAAAGATAAACTGAACATGTTATAACAAGGATGGCAAACTCTGTTTTACCAAAGGGTATGTGGTTTATTGATAAGTTGCTTAATATGAGATGGGATGGATGCGGTTTTTCCAATAACCCAGTTTGGGCCATGGTGTAATGGCAAGAATTTAGACATAAGCCACACAGTAAGTAACAGCAGCACACTGCTGTGGTCATGGCAGGTCAAAGTAACTTTTTTCTAAAGGTTTATAACATTTTTTTTAACCTTTATTAATGGCTGAATCCAGCGTGTCGCTTTCCATCAAATGGCTGAATAATTACCATTTAACTTTGTATTATGGACACAGGAGAAGATAAGAACAATTACCTATACTTTTACATCTTCCTCCAGAAAATTACATGTAGTGTAACCCTCGGTTTACTTAAAGGAAATTTATACTTCCATGTTCCACTCTACAGTAAAATGGCTGTTGATTGGTTCCTAGTTACAGGGGGGACAACTGTCATCTCTACTCTACATAATTATCCCATAGATGCCATTTTATTTTTTTGGTCCCTCATCCTATATCCTTGTAGGTACTTTCCTGTCCCATTTAGTAATTACAACTGTAATAACAACTTTACTCAATCACAACATGTTTTTTCCAACGTATCAGTTTATTTGGCAGCCCTAAACCATTTTGACGTCACATTTCATCAAAGTCAGAAGCCTTAAGTACTTGAGTTTAACATGCATCTTTGCTTCACAGATGGACAAAAACAACAAAGATGCACTGGTTTATTTTGGGTATTTTAGGTTTGCCTCAACTTTGTGCGAGTCGCTCACCCTCACAAAACCTGGAAGGCCTGTTTTGGGCCATGAAAACAAAGTACAGAATGGCTTCTTGTATGTGTTGTCAAGTAAATGCACCATCTTCACCGTTCAGCTTTTTTTTGCTGTGTGAAACAGTGGAAAAACACATGCACTCTAGCAGCGCAGCTCAACTGATCATCTAAACTAACCACAGTGGAAAAACCCTATTAGTCAAAGAGCCATATAGTTTATAAACATGTTCAGTAAACTATGACTTAACTCCTACCATAACTTTCCTTTTACAGAAGACATCAAACTCAACACGCCACCCAATTATAGATTTAAATGTTTATGTCCTTTAGACATGAACAACACAGCAGAAACCACTTCCCGAGGCGACACCGGGGACTAGCTAACCCCGTGCAGCACAGATTTATATCGGATAAGCAGAAGGCTACAGTTTAGCACTGATGTGTGAGGAAGTACAGTTGCTGACTCAGGCCTTGTGTCAACAGTAATAACCTATTTAACTGTCAGCAAAAATCTGATATGTAAAGTCAAACCTCGGCTAAAAGCATGTTCACATTGTTCTTTTCTTTTCATGTAAATCTTATTTAAAGACATTTTAATTCACCCGGCAGGATGTCGGTCTCCGAGCAGTCGGTAAAAAAACATCAGTGACACACATGACCTACCTGTGACTGTTTGAAGACATCTCTGGCAATGGCGTCGAGGTTTCCCAGGTCTTTGATGGAGGCGACGTACTCTGAGACGGCTTTGATCACCACCTCACAGGGCGGCAGCACCAACTGATGGGCTCGCACCTGACAGCAAGAGAACAAAGGCTCTCATGTACTTATATCGAGCTACGAGGACAGCGGCACTGTGAAACAGCCGCATGACAGACAGGTAGATTTTTTTAAGAAGCATTGCACAGAAGCGGCATTCATATTGCTCACTTTTTTTATTAGATATTTATTATACACTTTTTTCTAAGCAACATATATATATATAAATATATAAAACACCAAATACTGCAATGTTCACCAATAAAAAAATGACACTTTTGACAAAAGAATGATTCCAATAACAGAATGATCGCGTTACAGATATGTGGCTTTTGGCATGTGCCCATAGGAGCGTTAAATTAATAACGCCTGTTCCTCGCTCTGAGGGAGAGGCTGGTTAGGTTTATCAGTTTGTTTGCAGGGTAACTAAAACTTTATGGAGCGCTTTGCATGAAATTTGTGCCACTGGTGGGGCTTGGCCACACTTGAAGAAGAAAGAAATGATTAACCAATAGCATTTCGTGGCAGGTAGTAAATATCAGAAACTCTAAACTATTGATCGACTTCTGGACAGGAATTTTCCACTTTAACTATCATCTGACCCATTTCAAAGGTAGTCATTTGTGTCCATGTACACAAAAGTGTATTTTCCTTCTTCTTTTTTTTAAAGAGTGAAAATGTCAACGTTCGAGTCTCATAGGTCACAGATTATTATCTACATTTTTTTAACATGCTATTAATTTTATGATTAATTTGCATGGAAAACCACTTTGTTAGAGCCAGGCATTCAAAATGACTGAGATTTAGGTATAGAAAAACAACTTATGTTTAGTCATAAAGACTCACTGTGAAGTTTAGAAGCTAAACTATGTGATTAGGGTCAGACATCATAAACAGGTTAGGTCTAGTCTTTAAAAGATCATGGATAGTGGGAAACAACGCAGTTGCCACTTTTTTTCAAAGCTTCATTTCTTTGGTTAGCATACTGACAGATTCCACACGCAAGCCTTTGGACTGTGGGAAGAAGCCAGATTATCTGGATTGAAAGATCCCAAAACCTTCTTGCCACAGTGCTAATAACAGTCCCACCTTCTACTGAAACACTTTACTTACAAAGTCATGTTGACTGTCACAAAAAACCAAAAGAAAACAACAAAAAAAACATGACATTTCATGATCATGAGCACGATCTATGTTCACAAGTATTTCACAAGTTATTTACCTTGTGAAATACTTGTGAACACAGATTTTTGGATTAACCTACATATGTAGATTAACCTCTGAAGTCAATCTACATATGTGTACAAGAATTACCATTCCTGCCAAGGAATGTTAAGATAAGTAATCACTAATGGAAATCAATAAATGTTAAAAATGAAAAAACAAATTAAACTGGGAGATCTGCTTTCCAGTTCCAATATGATACCAGTGGTGTTGCTTCAGGTATTTGCTGATAACAAGTACTCATCCAATACCAGCGCTAAATTAATAAGCCTTATCCCTCAATGCTAGGAAAGGACTTGTGATCATCATTTTATGTGTCAGGAAACATACAATATGCAAAAGTAATGGACTGATATTTGCTGATAAATTAATGCATATCAAAGGAAAAAGCGTAAAAGAAAGATAACTGTATTTATGTAAGGGAACTAATTCATTAAAATTTGTTGTTTACCGGTCACACCGGCTTCTTCTTTCCCTGCTCTCAGTTTCAATGTGGGTACACCTCTTCATATACGAGAAACAAAACAGATGAGAGGAAGATGAAGTGAAGATAAGAAGCGAGTAGAAAACAACTTACGTCACCCTTAAAACAGAAAATCTTCTGAACAAGTGTTAAACTTATTGGAACTATAGAAAGAGGGTGAAAAGTCAACAAGGATAGCGTAGTCATCTGAGCCTTTCAATCATCGTCAGCAAAACTTGTTAGTGCAGGTATTCCATACCTGCTGCAAACTGCTAACCTTTATGTTAGCACTATTTCTAGCAACTGGTGCACTGCTGCTGAGGCATGGCAAAGTAAACACAGACCAATGTAGAATTAAAATATTGACTGCTTGCCACCAGTACACAACTTCTTGAGTCACTGTCAGAATAACGTTTTTTAAGGTTCATCTGCCTCTGCATTTGTCTGGCTAGCAAAGATAAACACTACCTGTATTTTGGGGGTTTTCAGCCATAGCTGACTGTGTGCTTTAAAGGGATGGATGTAATTCACAGTATTCACATAATCATATCAAAAGAAGAAGAACATTTCATTTGGATGTTAACCTTTGACAATATCACTGAGGGGCAAGGCCTCTCTCGTTTAACGTTATCTGATCCCTGATCACTTATATCCACTGAAGCAGAACTGACTGTAAAATATTTATAAGAATCCAGGTTGTCTGCTTTTTACAGGATAATGGGAACTAGGCTATACTGTTATATCTCGGCACAAAGAGTCACTTTTGAAAGTAAAATTACATTTTAATGCAGCCACCAGGAGCCCCGACCTTTGACAACACTTACCACACACTGTGTGATGGGAAATTATAAGCAAGCTAGATGGAAAGTAAGACAAGACTGGCAAGTGAACCAGCAGCGTACTGCATTACTTCAAGCTTGAAAACACAATCATATAAATGCCGTGTCAGCGTAAACCACATCAACCACATTGTGCAGAGTGTGGACGAAGGCTGCAAATGCTAGCAGTGCTACACACCACACTCGGCACTCTGTAAGCCATTAATTGTAATACAACGTCGGTCTGCCACTGTTGCGGGCACAACATCAAAGTTCAAAACAGCCAGTGGAGGAAACGTTGACGGCATGTGACTTAAGCACTGCACACGGACCACGGGACCAAAGGCCTTTCTTGGAAACAGGTTCCATCCGGTGATACACTTCAGGTGTATTTTAACAGTCAGCTTGTTGGAACACGTCAATACATTTATTTATTATCATTTGCTACAAACGTTTCACAATAAAAGCCTTCTAAAGATCAACAGATGGATCTTGTTGTAAAAGGGGAAAAAAAAACAAAAAAAAACGTAGTGAGAAAAATAAGACACCCCTCTGTAAAATGTGTCATATATAAATAGTCTAGTTCTGTTTAAAAATGAGGTAAGAGTTCATGTGACATTACATACTGTTACAGCTAATATTTTCTTTTATTCGCAGAGAACTATGGACAAAGAAGCAATCGTTACCTTGAGGGAGGCTAGTGGGTGTTCTGGTCCCAGCAGACTCCAGTGGAAGGCAGCCAGGTCTTCATCAGGCAAAATATGATTTCCTGAAAGAAAGAAGTTCTTAACTTTTTGTTGCATCAGTGAACAAAAACAACAGACAAAGGCAGCTGTCAATTATAACCCACGTACAGGGGTGTGTCCTTCAAAAGTAAGAAGTGTGGTATATAGTTTGGATTTTGAGGTGTGTGCCATTGTATCGCTCCTCACCCAGCAGAGCAGCAAAGCAGGGCAGGTGCTGTGTCTTGAGCCCGAGCTGCCTGGCGGCCTCGGACAGCAGATACTGGTGTGTGGTCAGGTTCTTTCCGTTCCAGCTCAGTTTGAGCGCATGCGAGGAAAAGTAGGCGGGGACGTTGCAGAGGGCAAACTCTGAATCCTGAGCGATCAGGCCTGCAAATCCATAGTCCCTGTAGAGAGAGAGCACTTCCTGGTGGTGGTCCTCCAAAGTCTGTACAACCTGTAGATACAGAGAAGACAAATTTGTTAGCTCTATGAAATTTCGCACCACCTCTTTCATATTTAAAGTATAAATGGATTAAGAAAAAGTTATTTATTGCTTATCTGATCACTGTTTAAGTTGCTTTTTTTAAGAATAAGAGACAAGTTTTACTCAAACTTAGCTTCTCTAATTTGTGGCTTTTTGATATCAGCGTTTCCCCACACAGAGCCTGGAGGTTTATTTTATTAGCTTTCTATACAAGTTTACAAGTGGAGAGCCTGCACACTCTTATTTTGAAAGCTGAGCTGCTGCTAAAGTCTGTATACAAGTGACGGAGCTAGCCATTGGGATGTTCCGCCTCAACCTGAGACTTTTTGTTTGAATAGCTATCTGTCTGAGAAAACATGGAACGCTGCTCAACCATAGGCTAGCACAGCTGTCAATCACACAGCACGCCTTACCCTGCTTTACCCCAACTGGTTTTTGTTGTTTTACACCAATGGGGACCATAATTTACAAAATAAACTTTCTGCTGCATTCATTAAAACTTGAAGCCAGTGGTTGAGACTATAAATGGTCTAATGAGATCACAGAGTAAGAGAGCTGAAGGGAGGTTTAGATAGACTGGCCTGTAGAATTTGGTCACCCACACCACTGTAGTACAAGACAGCTGGTTGGTGAATCACGATGGGCATTTTTCAGTACTCCCCAATGTTTTATAAACCAGATGACATTTCAGAGGAATTGAATTTTTTTTTTTTTTTTTTTTTTGAAGTGGACTGCCAATGGAGAAAATGACAGTCTCTCGTGCAAGCTGTCACTACAACATACTTCGTTTATGATGAATGTAGATGACAGACTAAAACTGGCAGTGACACATTTTATGCCAACACAATACTTCTGCTCCATGGTCCATGACAACGTTTCATAAAACACTGTTTGCTCGCAAAATTACATCTGAGGCAAAACTGTACTGTACCGGTTACTTTCAGTGTCCTGGTGATGCATCTTTCTCAACATATGGCCGCGTAATATTCTTCATAGTTTGTGGATGAGGGGCCATATTATTGTCAGATAGAGGGAGAGCACTATGGCCTCAGGATTATGTGGAATCTTTTTAATCGATGTCAGCGTTGATCAATGTGAAAACTAAATAATTAGACAAAGCTTCGTTATTAAAATTCCATTTAATGAGCTTGTAATCAAATATCTTTTTTCAAATGAATGCAATATGGGACAAAGATGGCAAGGATGATTGAGACTTGTTTAAACTATTTCATCTCTCTGTATCACTAAAACCAAGCAAACATTAAGAATCAATCCATTTTAAGATCTTAAATAAAACTGAAGAATGAACAATGTCAAAACGATGCAAGACATTTATTATCATTGGGAAATACTAATTAGTTAAATAACTATTCAACAGTGCTAGAACCACTACAACACGATGATACTTTTAAATCAACTAACAGTGAAGCAGACTTTAAAAGCCTAGCAGCGATATAACAATGACATTCAGCGACTGGTAGCAACAACAGTTAGCGACAGGGAGAGTGGGCGTGTACGAAGTGAAAATTCAAAATTTTGAGGTGGATAATTGAAGTGACTACCAATGGGAGCAAAGAAAACCACTGATTGATGTATTAAAAAAAACTTTAGGGTGACAACTACCGTGTTTAAAAAAAATGCCATAAGCTCAATTATATACGCAGTTTACGCAACA